GTGACCATAATCAAAGAAGAAGGTGCAAAGGTTGTGAAGGTTCACCAACATCAGCGTAGATCCTCCTTGTGTCCAAAACTTTGGCAAAATTAAACAAATGTGTTAAAAATGCCTACAGTGGTATCCCTTTTATACACCCATTGCAACTAGAGCTGAGATTGGGTAATCAGTTTAAAAGAAATCCTTGTTACCCCCCCCCCCCCCGGGAAGGCAATAGGCTCTACCCAAGTTAGACACTAAGGGGTATATTTACTAAAGCTGGAGAGTGTAAAATCTGGTGCACTTCTGCATAGAAACCAATCGGCTTCCAGGATTTATTGCCAAAGCTTCATTGAACAAGCTGAAGTTAGAAGCTGATTAACTACCATGCACAACTGTACCAGATTCTGAGTGAACCAGTTTTAGTAAATCTCCCCCTAAGTTCCGGTTCACATATATGTGGATTGGATGCGCTTTGAACTGCACCCAATCTGTATGACAGTGCTTCCTATGGCACCTGTTCACATAGGTCCGGTGCACTGGCAGTGCAGACTCAGTGCGGATTGAAAAAGAATGCAAATATAAAAGAGTCTACCATGGAAAGACTTCTGGGATGGTTTGACGTGTATTTAAAATAGGTTGGTTGGTAAAGTATTGAGGTTAGACAACAGATTATTGGTGTTCCACAAATATGGCTTGACTCCTCCCAAGACTGGGCTGTTTGTATTCATGCTGATCCTCTTGTTTAGAGGGACACGGGACATAGAAAAGATGGAGGGGGGTTTCTCTATGATAGATGTGATGTGAAAGAGAGTATGATAGATGTGAAAGAGAGGAAGAAAGATGATCTTGTGGTTGGAGGTGGTGATGGTGAGGAGGAGGAATTACGGGAGGAATGATAGATGGGTCTATGGACTGATGGACTTATCATTGGAGTATACTACAGACGTCCTGAGGTCTATGAGAAGGGGGAGAGTCGGCTGTTCCAACAAGGTGATGGTGCAGAGGAGGAATTACGGGTGGAATGAGAGATGGGTCTATGGACTGATAGACTTATTGGAGTATACTACAAACGGCCTGAGGTCTATGAGAAGGGGGAGAGCCGGCTGTTCCAACATGGTCAAGCTGGGAACACCAAACTACTAAGACACAAGATGAAGACTAAAACCTACAGGATGGGCCTGACTTGTAGTGCTACAATATGGAGAAGGAGGAGAAAATAGGAGAAGGAGGAGGAGAAAAGAGGAGAAGGGAAAAGGGAAGACAAGAATGACCTTGTGGTTGGAGGTGGTGATGGTGCGGAGGAGGAATTAAGGGAGGAATGATAGATGGCTCTATGGACTGATGGACTTATCATTGGAGTATACTACAGATGTCCTGAGGTCTCTGAGAAGGGGGAGAGCTGGCTGTTCCAACAAGGACAAGCTGGGAACACCAAACTACTAAGACACAAGATGAAGACTAAAACCTACAGGATGGGCCTGACTTGTAGTGCTACAATATGGAGAAGGAGGAGAAAATAGGAGAAGGAGGAGAAAAGAGGAGAAGGGAAAAGGGAAGACAAGAATGACCTTGTGGTTGGAGGTGGTGATGGTGCGGAGGAGGAATTACGGGAGGAATGATAGATGGCTCTATGGACTGATAGACTTATCATTGGAGTATACTACAGACGTCCTGAGGTCTATGAGAAGGGGGAGAGTTTGCTGTTCCAACAAGCTGGAAACACCAAACTACTAAGACACAAGATGGAGACTAAAACCTACAGGATGGGCCTGACTTGTAGTGGTACAATATGGGAGAAGGAGCAGAAAAGAGGAAAAGGGAAGACAAGAATGACCTTGTGGTTAGAGGTGGTGATGGTGCGGAGGAGGAATTACGGGAGGAATGATAGATGGGTTTATGGACTGATGGACTTATCATTGGAGTATACTATAGACATCCTGAGGTCTATGAGAAGGGGGAGAGTCGGCTGTTCCAACAAAGACAAGTTGGGAAAACCAAACTACTAAGACAAAAGATGGAGACTAAAACCTACAGGATGGGCCGTACCTGTAGTGTTAGGAAATGGAGGAGACTGGTGGAGAAGAAGGAGACTGAAGGAGACTGGAGGAGTAGGGAAAAGGGAAAAGAAGAGAAGAATGATCTTGTGGTTGGAGGTGGTGATGGTGGAGGAATTACGGGAGGAATGATAGATGGGTCTATGGACTGATGGACTTATCATTTGGAGTATACTACAGATGTCCTGAGGTCTATGAGAAGGGGGAGAGTCGGCTGTTCCAACAAGTTGATGGTGCGGAGGAGGAATTACGGGAGGAATGATAGATGGGTCTATGGACTGATGGACTTATCATTGGAGTATACTACAGACGTCCTGAGGTCTATGAGAAGGGGGAAAGTTGGCTGTTCCAACAAGGACAAGCTGGGAACACCAAACTACTAAGACACAAGATGGAGACTAAAACCTACAGGATGGGCCGTACTTGTAGTGCTAGGAAATGGAGAAGGAAAAGGAGAAAAGTGGAAAAGGGAAGACAAGAATGACCTTGTGATTGGAGGTGGTGATGGTGGAGGAATTACGGGAGGAATGATAGATGGGTCTATGGACTGATGGACTTATCATTGGAGTATACTACAGATGTCCTGAGGTCTATGAGAAGGGGGAGAGTCGGCTGTTCCAACAAGGTGATGGTGCAGAGGAGGAATTATGGGAGGAATGATAGATGGTGGGTCTATGGACTGATGGACTTATCATTGGAGTATACTACAGACGTCCTGAGGTCTATGAGAAGGGGAAAAGTAAAAAACCAATATGGATTCCTTGTTGTAGAAAAGAAATAAAAAAGAAAATAACGTTCAATAAAACAATTCTAATGTCAAACTTTTATTAGGCAACTTAAAAAGAATATCATGATTTCAAGTAGAAATATAAATGTTTATCTTCGTTGGGCTACAATTTGCACAGGTCAATGTTGTAGCTTTATTGTTCCAGACGAAATATACACCCCAGAAGATTCTTCTCCTCCTGGGCAGCGGATATGTGCGGCAGAGTCCCGTAGGAGAGGTGCCATTCTAACACGAGAGTCATTTTATCCTTTGTTTGCTACCAAAACCCAGCCAGCAGTTGGTGCTCTCCAAGAAATTGGAGGTGTCTTTGAAGGCTCATAGTACATACCCTGAAGAAGTCACGTGGTGATCGTGACGCAACGCGTTGGTACGCGGTGACAGGACTTCCGGTGCGCGGTGACGTCAGTTCCGGCGTGGGGGCCACCTTGGATCACCCGGAACCATGCATATACACCCATAGTATGGGTAAAGGCTGGATATTGCTGCTTAACATGTGAGTGGGTATTTTTCTTGTTATTGGAGTAATAAATACTGATTCACACTATAGAGGATCTGTTTGTTTCTGGTATGATCCTTTGTGGGAGAACGACCAGCTAAAAGTACCAGGGGATTGGAGAACTAAGGAGGATCACTGGTCTGTGGGAGTATCCAGGAGGGTCCATCTGGTGGTGACGAGGCTATTTCCTGGGAAAGCGTGGCTTACCCTTTAAGCAAGCTGGCCCTTGTGGTCAATGTAAGGAGGTGAGGAGGCACTTTGGCTATTTTTGGATTCACGAGTTGTTTTGGCATTGGATTCACTTCACGTTGTGCTGAATTTACACGCAATTTATATTTTTGTGGAGCACTATTCAGTATTATTTGTGCAGCGTGTGGACTTTGATGGACATTTATTTAATTTTTCACTGAGTGTGGTTTTGTACACTTGCACTGTGTTTTCTATAGGGATTTCATTGTTCACATTTATTTGATCCCCCAGGTTGGGGGAATCATTTACATACATTCATTGCTGTTGTTGCACTATTATTTATCACTTTTATACTTTGTATGTTAACAAGGTATAATCAGTAGTATTATTTATTTATATTTTTGATGCACATGGTAGTATTTATTTAGCGCTACACCATTTTATTTATTCATTTAATTACACTTTGTGGTTGAAGGAAGGTGTTTAGCAGCTTAGGGTAGGGATTATCCATTTAAGCGCAAGGGATTGTTCTCACCATTTAATGTTGTAGCTTTATTGTTCCAGACGAAATATACACCCCATCAGATTCTTCTCCTCCTGGGCAGCGGATATGTGCGGCAGAGTCCCTTAGGAGAGGTGCCATTCTAACGAGAGTCATTTTATCCTTTGTTTGCTACCAAAACCCAGCCAGCAGTGCGTTGGCGCTCTCCAAGAAATTGGAGGTGTCTTTGAAGGCTCAAAGTACTACCACTGCACTGAAGTAGTCATTCCTGTCGTTTAGTCTGATCTCCCCGGCTCTGCATCCATTAGGAATATCCAACAGGGCTCTCACCATGATTTTTCACTTTGAAGCTTCTATTGAAGAGCAGGGGAGCTCAGGCTTCATTGGAGGAGGGATTCAACCCGCATTGCCACCCCCCTCCTGACTTTGTCTTTGCTCGGCCCTGATATTCTTTTGAAGCTTCAGCCATCGATCTGAGGTGCATACCAAGATGTGCTTTTTCTGAGGCAGAATACAATTCAAGTCAAAAGACATTTCCCGCACTTTTGACACGAATAGGTCTCAAGGGTTGTGTGGGGTTCTCACATGTTTGGCCAGACTGCATTGTTGAGAAAAACATTTCCCGCACTTGGGGCAGGAATACGGCTTCTCCCCCGTGTGACATCTCTGATGTTTACCGAGATCCGATTTGCGCACAAAACGCTTCTGGCACTCAGAGCAGGAAAATGGCTTCTCCCCCGTGTGACATAGCTGATGTACTGAAAGATAGGACTTCTCTGAAAAAACATTTCCCGCACTCCGGACAGGAATACGGCTTCTCCCCCGTGTGAGATCTCTGATGTCTGACAAGCGTTGATTTCAGCGTATAGCACTGCCCACAGTCAGGACAGGAGTACGGCTTCTCCCCTGTATGAGATCTTTGATGTGTGACAAGTTCTGATTTCCGAGGATAACTTTTCCCACACTCGGGGCAGGAATACGGCTTCATGCCGGAGTGGCATCTCAGATGTACAGAAAGATGAGACTTCTGCGAAAAACATTTCCCGCACTCAGGACAGGAAAACGGCTTCTCCCCCGTGTGAGACCTCTGGTGTGCAGCAAGATCTGGTTTACGTAGAAAACGTTTCCCGCACTCAGGACAGGAATATGGTTTCTCCCCCGTGTGACATCTTTGATGTTCAGACAGATAAGACATCCGTGAAAAACATTTCCCGCACTCATTACAGGAATACGGCTTTTCCCCTGTGTGAGTCCTCTCATGTCTGATAAGTGCCGATTTCAGTGGGAAACATTTCCCGCACTCAGCACAGGAAAAGGGCATGTTGCCCGTATGATTTATTTGATGTCTGATAAGTTGAGATTGCCACAGAAAACATCTCCCACACTCAGAGCAGGAATACAGCTTCTCCCCCGTGTGAGATCTTGAATGTCTAACAAGTGCGGATTTCCATGGGTAACATTTCCCACACACAGTACAGGAATACGGCTTCTCCCCCGTGTGAGATCTTAGATGTCTGACGAGAGCAGATTTCCGTGGATAACATTTTCCGCACTCAGGACAGGAATGTGGCTTTTCACCCCCGTGAGATAATTGGTGTTTATCTAAATCTGATTTTCTGCCAAAACACATTCCACACTCAATACAAGTGAAAATCTGTTGAAGGCCATCCCGGTCCTGCACAGTCAGAGATTCCTCAGGTACGAGGAATCCGATGGTCCATCTACACTGGGTGGTGCTGGGTGGACATTGGAGGGAGCTGGGTTTTCTCCTGGACTATACTGTGTGATGTCCTCATCTTCTACTTTCCAGTCTGGAGACAAAGTGAGACAATCCTCGGAGGTTTTCCTCATCTCCCGGCCATGGACTAAAAGAGAAAAGAGAGATTATTGGTTAGATATGATCAGGTTGGTTCACTGAAATGAAGATCTGAAGTTGCTGACTGATGGGACTCTTGCACGGCTGGGCCCATCCCCAATACATGGGATTATACAGGCGGTCAGAGATGTGTTCTTTCTCCTCTTCTCAAGAGCAATACCCCCACAGGAGCTACTAAAATTGTTGGGTTCTACCATTTCAAGTGATGACCCACCCTGTAATTCCTTTCTCCTCTTCTCAGCCACAAGTTCCTGGACTTCATGCAGACCCGGCTCCCCAATACAAGCTGGTGAGGAGACGCTTTAGCTTCTGAGCGGCACCAAGATCCATTATACACTAGTTTATCCTGTGGAGGTGTTCCTACACTTGGGGATTCTCCTAGACCTCTTTGCAGAGTGATGATTTCTCCATAAAGTGCTCGTCAAGTTGGAGCCAGTCATCGCTGCTTGGGGTGTGAAGAACAGAAAGGTCAGCTGGAGTTAATTGTGCTGATGGACATCCCGTGACGGATGAAGAGAGGACCAAATTCACCGGCAGCCAATCGTGTTTGAGGTGTATACAGAAGAAAACCCTACCATTGGGCCACCTACAAAGTCAAGGTCCCATAGAGTTGGTGTGCCTTGATTCTCGGGCTCCGATACGATACGAGTGGACAAGGGAACATCTTGGAGGCAACCAATCACTTCACTCGCCCCCGATGAATGGTTGAGATCAAAACGCTTCCATGGTAGTCAAAGTCTTAATACAGAAATTCTTCGATCAGTATGATCTACCACTGAAGACTCAATCAGACCAAGGTCGGGACTTTGAGAGCAAACCCAGAAAAAAGTTATTGAAAATTCTGGGGGGGTACAGAAGACACAAACTACTCCTTATCACCTGAAGGAGACTGTCAGGACGGCTTCCGGAGTAAGTTTCATTCGGTTCTGCTGTGCATACACATTTCTATGGACATGCCATACACATGCAGCAGAAGCCCAATCATTTCCAGTCTTGGCACCAGACAGCCTTTCTAAAGAGCAGCGCTGAATATATATTGCAGGGGTCAGGAGTATGTAATGTACAACATGGAGTATATAGTGCAGGGGTCAGGAGTATGTAATGTACAACATGGATTATATAGTGCAGGGGTCAGGAGTATGTAATGTAAACATGGGGTATAAAGTGCAAGGGTCAGGAGTATGTAATGTACAACACAGAGTATATAGTGCAGGGGTCAGGAGTATGTAATTTACATCATGTAGTATATAGTGCAGGGGTCAGGAGAATGTACTGTACAACGTGGAGTATATAGTGCAGGGGTCAGGAGTATGTAACATACAATGTATAGAATGCAGGGGTGAGCTCAACCCAAGAATATGCATGCAGCACAAGGATTATTCAGGCGAAAGAAGATCTAATGTGCAGGACAGGAAACACATTCAGGAAGGTGACCATTACCAGATTATTACGGGCTGTGATCAATCAGTCCCCACCTTTCTCTGGACCAATTAGTGAGCAGTATGGGTGGAGGAATGGATTTAGTGATCATGACCCACCTGTGCTGATCTCTGTAGGAGTGTCCTCCTCTATAAATGTCCCCGTTATTCCCTCCTTCTCCATAGACTGCTGATCATCCCTCACATACACCTCTTCTTCTTCTGATTTCACCTCAACTTTTATATCTATCAGATCTTCACCCTAAACCAAGAGAAGGAGAGAAAATATCATCTAGGAAGGTCTATACAGTGAGGAACAGAAGTATTTGAACACCCTGTGATTTTGCAAGTTCTCCCACTTAGAAATCATGGAGGGGTCTGAAATTCACATTGTAGGTGCATTCCCACTCTGAGAGACAGAATTAAAAAAAAAATTCAGGAAATCACATTGTATGATTTTTTAAAGAATTTATTTGTCTTGCACTGCTGAACATAAGTATTTGAACACCTGAGAAACAGCAAGAATTCTGGCTCTCAAAGACCTGTTATTGTGCCTTTAAAAAGTCCACCTCTACTCCACTCATTAATCTAACTTAGTAGCACCTGTCTGAGCTCTTTAAAGACACCTGTTCACCCCACAGTCAGTCAGACACCAACTACTACCATGGGCAAGACCAAAGAGCTGCCAAAAGACACCAGAGACAAAATTGTGGACCTCCACAAGGCTGGAAAGGGCTACGGGGAAATTACCAAGCAGCTTGGTGAAAAAAGATCAACTGTTGGAGCAATTGTTAGAAAATGGAAGAGGTTAAAGACGAATGTCAGTCTCCCTTGGACTGGGGCTCCATGCAAGATCTCACCTCGTGGGGTATCACTGATGATAAGAAAGGTGAGGAATCAGCCCAGAACTACAAAGGAGGAGCTGGTCAATGACATGAAGAGAGCTGGGACCACAGTTCCAAAGGTCACTGTCGGTAGAACACTACGCCATCATGGTTTCAAATCATGCATTGTGCGGCAGCTTCCCCTGCTCAAGTCATATGTCCAGGCCCGTCTGAAGTTTGCCAATGACCATCTGGATGATCCAGAGGAGGCATGGGAGAAAGTCATGTGGTCAGATGAGACCAAAGTAGAACTTTTTGGTCTAAATTTCACTCATCGTGTTTGGAGGAAAAAGAAGGATGAGTTGCATCCCAAGAACACCATCCCTACTGTGAAGAGAGGAGGAAGATCCCTACTGTGAAGCATGGGGGTGGTAACATCATGCTTTGGGGGTGCTTTTCTGCAAAGGGGACAGGACAACTTCACTGTATTGAGAGGATGAATGGGGCCATTTATTGTGAGATTTTTAGCAACAACCTCCTTCCCTCAGTTAGCACTGAAGATGGGTCGTGGCTGGGTCTTCTAACATGACAACGACCTGAAGCACACAGCCAGGATAACCAATGAGTGGCTTCGTAAGAAGCATATCAAGGTTCTGGAGTGGCCTAGCCAGTTTCCAGACCTAAATCCAATAGAACATCTTTGGAGGGAGCTGAAACTCCGTGTTGCTCAGCGACAGCTCCGAAACCTGACAGATCTAGAGGAGATCTGTGTGAAGGAGTGGGCCAAAATCCCTGTTGCTTTGTGTGCAAACCTGGTCAAGAACTACAGGAAACGTTTGACCTCTGTAATTACAAACAAAGACTTCTGTACCAAATATTAACACTGATTTTCTCAGGTGTTCAAATTCTTACGTTCAGCAGTGCAAGACAATTAAGTTCTTTAAAAATCATACAATGTGATTTCCTGAATTTTTTTTTAAATTCTGTCTCTCAGAGTGGGAATGCACCTACAATGTGAATTTCAGACCCCTCCATGATTTCTAAGTGGGAGGACTTGCAAAATTGCAGGGGGTTCAAATACTACTGTTCCTCACTGTAAATCATCTTCATGAGTCATTTATATTCTAGGTTCTCTGTCCCACCAACCTTGTAATGGTGGGGGATAGTGTGACCTTCCTGTGTGGAATCCCGGGAATACAGAGGACGGGGACATCTCTCTGGTGGGTTCCTGTAGCTGGATGACTCCTCCATGGTGTCCTGGTACAGATCTTTGAGTCCTTTGGGAATCTCTGACTCCTCCATCACCACATCCTCATCATCCTCCTCTTTTATCTCTTCTTTAACATCAACTGTAGAATCTCTCAGGTTTCCACTCTGAATATATAATAAAAATGACATCAATGGTAACAATGCAGATAATGTACAGATCCTAATGATACTATCAGTGATTGTTCCTCATCTACCTGATGATGGTGAGGGATGGTGTGACCTTCCTGTGTGGAATCCCGGGAATACAGAGGATGGGGACATCTCTCTGGTGGGTTCCCATGACTGGATCCATCTACCTGATGATGGTGAGGGATGGTGTGACCTTCCCGTGTGGAATCCCGGGAATACAGAGGATGGGGACATCTCTCTGGTGGGTTCCTGGTATTAGGTGGCTCCATCATATCCTTGTGTCCTTCTGAAAACTCCTCCATCACTCCATACTCCTCATCCTCCTCTTTATACTCTTCTTTAACAACAATATTGTAATTCTCACGGTTTGCACTCTGAAAATATAAAACATTATTTGCAACTCACATGTTGTATATAAATGATAACTTTCAGTGATTGTTCCTCATCTACCTGATGATGGTGAGGGATGGTGTGACCTTCCTGTGTGGAATCGCAGGAATACAGAGGACGGGGACATCTCTCTGGTGGGTTCCCATGACTGGATCCATCTGTAGGAAACACACACACTGACTGAATCCATTGTTTCTATGTGTTTATCAGATGATGGGGGATCTAGGTGGACCCTCCGTACTGCTCTCTCCTTTCCAATAAAGTCTCCTCTTACCCGGTGATGTGAGGGGCGGCTGATTGTCCATCATGACGTCCTTGTAGAGGTCCTTGTGTCCTTCTAAATACTCCCACTCCTCCATGGAG